ATGACATGAGGTAGGCGATGTGGGACTTTCAACACACCCCCTCCAACGAAGCCCGCCGGACCAGGCAAAGGGTACTTTTGACCCAACTAAAGGGCAACTTTTGGCCCATGACAATAACCGGAAAGATGTTAGGCTTTGACTCTGATACCATGTTGAATATAGAGAAAATATGGTTTGGAATTAATTTCCCTTGTGTATAAATCACACATAGGATAGTCTATTTATAGTAGAGATATACAACTAAAAGAGTAACTGAAAGTAACAGAATAAACAGAAGATATTGTTTGATATTGTGGTTACCAATATCTAACAATATCTTAACAATATCAAATAATATATAAACAATATCTAACAGTTATTATTGTTTTTGGTGTTGTTGTTCTTAATTCGTTGGAGCCTAGAGAAGGGTAAGATTTACTAATTTTAATCTTTTTGGAGCTCAATCACCCCTCTCGACGAGACCTCCACCAAGCTTACAGTCAAATTTTGGTCCCATGATATCTATAGAAGAAAAAATTTAGTCAGTCAACCAATAAGAAAGAGAAACTAAGTTTTCAAGATTTAAATAAAAAAAAAAACTCTTGGGTCCTTAACAAGAGGAACGAATAATATATCTCAATGATTTATGGAATGAGGAAGAGTTGAAATAATTGATATATTTATTTTATCCTCAAGAGAAAACAATATTCAACCTAGAATTTCAACTTGTGGGGAACCACCAATATAAAAGGAACTGAGGAGTGTAGTTAAGATTGAGAGAAAGCTTTCAGATGGGTCATCCTAATCACATTTTATTTTAAAAAAGTGACTCTTGAAATTTTCAAAAAAAGAAAATAGATGGTGAATAAACCATCATATTGGGATCATTTAGAGACACCTGACCTTTTGGCCATGTTTCAGCTAATAAAAATACATACTTTTTTTCACATTAAGAGTCAAATTAGGGATGTCGCATAAAATTTGGAAACTAATAAAAAAACTATCTATTTGGATGAAGTTGGTTAAGGGTGACACATAATGGATAACATATCACACTCAAAATTAGTAAACGCTATAAGAATATCTAAATACTTAAATAAACATTCATATACAAAAGCGACTTAGGTGCCATAGCGAATACAATGGTGCAATGAACAACTGATGACAAGTTTGAATGAGGGTTTGATTTGTAGTGGTAGCGTGGGTAGAGGTGGAGAGATAAGATAACATCAATTAGGGTTACTAATTTTTATAATTATTTTTAAAATTTAAAATAAATGATGGGTTGCGGGTCAATTAATCGTAACCCAACTTGAATCCATGAGTTAAGTGAGTCGGGTTCATTTTTAGCTCATTATCGATAAAAATAAAAAAAATCCAAACTCAACTCGGCTTGAATCCTTGATGAGCCGGATTAGCTCACGGGTTACAACTCATATTGACACCCCTAACGATAGTTCCCATATCTAAGTATGATATGGGCGAACTTGAACACAAGTTCAACAAACCTCACAACTCGACATTAGAAATTAAGCTCGTTATACTATCAAGACTTAGAGCTTGATGAACTTATGTACCTACTTAGATTTTTGTATTGATTATATTTATTAAACATAAATAGTCTTCCAGTTAAATTCTTTAAATACATATTATAGTAATAATACATAATTAATATACTCCATTACTCAGTTATACATAATATTATTAAAAATATAATAACCAACTAACATTAAACATGTATAAATTATTAAGTAAAATATTCGACAAGAATCTTATAAATAAGACTATTTATTATTACTATACTCATATTCTCAAATTAACTAAAAACTTAACATTGAATAAAGCCCATTCACGAGAGATCCAAAAGTGTTTATGAGGAAGATATTAAGTGGTAAAAGTTAATGTAATTATGCTCTTAATTGTTATGTAACCACTTAAATATTATTGATTTTAATCTATTTTTCTCCCAATGTAGGGTAAATTAGTAGAATACCTTGATACAAGAGTAAAGATCATAATTGTGAAGATAATTGAAGAAAAAGTGAAAGAAAGAAGAAGATTTTCAACTGGAAATTCGCTCGAGCGCCATCTACGCTCGCTTGAGCGAATATACGTTAAAGCTCTCAGGAGTTCACTCGCTCAAGTACCTTCCATTCTCGCTTGAGCGAAAATACAACAAATCTCTCGGGTGTGCACGCGCTCAAGCGGACAACTTTCGCTTGAGCGAAAGTTACTGTTTTTCGCTCAAGTGAATAATGGATCGCTTGAGCGAATGATGCGATTCCAGGCCTAATATTTCCTATAAAAAGATAAGACGTGTTTTGAGATGGAATTTTAGGTTTTTGAAGAAAAGGTGCGGCTGCAGTTCTGTTCTTCAAGGATTCTTCAATTCTTCCTCATTTTAGAGCATTGTAATGACCACCATGAGTGACTAACTTCATTCTCTTAGGATTGGATGCACTTCCTTGGAACTCTTTTGTGTCATGGTGATATTTTGAGATATTAATCTATATTTTGATGTTGTTATTCTTATATTTTGTACTTTGGAATGATTTATTCTTGATGTTTGAGATATTATTGAAAAATATATCTTGAAACCCTAGATCAGGTAAGAATATTTGTTATGTTAATTACTAGGAATGGAATGAATATATCAAGTGCTTAACACCTTAAACCTAATGCTGAAAAATCTCGTAACTGTGTGAGGAATCAACTTTTATCAGGTTTTCTTATGAATTTCACATGCGAGAAATCAAAGTGAATGATTTGAGTAGGTGGTACCAACATTGATATGTTAATTGATATTCTTAATTTGACCTAGCCATTATGCAAAAGAGGGAAAAGGAAAAAAGACAATCCCAAGTTCTTTTATTTGATATTTTTTAAACGCACTTTATTGTTCTTTGTCATTTGTTTTCAACTCATATCTTTATGAAAAACAATTTTTTTTTACTCCACTTAGTAAGCATATGATTTGAAATTTTCATTAAAATCGTTCCTCGTGTGATCGACTTTTATTTAATCGAAATATTATACTCGTGATTGATAATTTTGGTACGTGTATCAAATATTCAACAAGAATTTATGGCGCTAGGAATCCAAAAGTGTTTATGAGGAAGAACAACCAGTTCAAATTCATTGGACAACTTCTTCAATATAATTTATTATTGTATTTTTCTTACAAGAATGTTGCTCATTTGTTTTAATATTTTTATTTTAGTAAATTTAAAAAATTTGCATAATTCTCAAATTGATGCAAAATTATATAAGTAAAAGAAATTTGAACTTCTTGACAAAACTTTATATTTTTTTCATTTTTCATTAAAAAGATATAGACATAATCATGTAAGATATATAAAGTGCAAAATATAATAAGTAAAGAAAAAGCGAGATGAATACGGAATTAGAAATTAATTAAGTTTAAATAATTTTTTAATAAGTAATTATGAAATGAAGTAAAATAAATATTTTCATCATAAAAAACATTCAATTTTATGAAAAAAATTATCTATGTTTTTTCATCCTAGGTAAAGGTCATTAAAATAAAATAAAAAAAGAGAGCAGAAGTTTAACATCTAACATAATTTAAGAAAATGGTGTTTATTTAACCCACGCATCATTTGTATTTTTTCAATAAAAAATAGTCACAAAAATTTGTACATATATTAAAAAAATAGTTGAAAAAGGCTAGTATGGATTACATTAAAATTTGTTTACTTATCGTAAAAGAATTTAAAAGTATGTAGTGTCTATTAAGCCGACGCTAATTTGACGTTACTAGTATAAGTTATTAGATCGATACTAATTTACTTCATTCTTATAATGTCAAACTCTTTTATTTTTTTCACTCATTTTACTTTTTTGGGCACTCTTCCTTCAATTTTAAATTTTGTTTCTTTAAAACACATCTATCATGAATAAATAGGTTGTTTTTTTTTTTTTTCAATGTTTATAAATTGAGACACCACCTTCTAAAACATCTCTCTTTGAGAATTTGTGTTTTGATCTTTTTCAATCATTGAGAATTGTATTTCTTGAACCTTTTATTTTTCCAACTCTTCTCTCCCATAAGACATAAATTTAAGGTTTCTCCTCAAAAGTACTCAAGAGTTTAAATCAACAATCAATTGTCAGTACATTGGTAGTTCCAAAGCTACTACTATAGCGGAGAAAATAAAACCAAGAAGTGAAAAAAAAAAAAAAAAAGATATAACACACTACATACAACTTGAAGGTAGAATAAAGGATATGCATGCTTTAAAGTTTTCAACATATGCATGTTCTAAATACAATGTTAACAAAAAATACAATTTGTGTACCATTGACTTCGGATAAGCCCACCCTTAAAATATGGATTATCCTCACATTTTCTTATGAATATTAAATCAAGCCATTAAATATATTTAGTATGTCTTGGTATGAGCATTTCAATTGACCCAGGGAAAATGCCTTTGCCTTGGTCACAATGCGTGTAAATTGATGCTCTAACTGATGTATTTATAAGTTCTTATCTCTTAAATTTAATTTAGATGTTAATAAGATTGACCTAATAATCAAAATTAAGAGTTTACTTGATACAATTTTATAGGAGATAAGACTGATAATAAAATAGTTAGCTTATAATTTTAAAATTCTCACTTTTGTCTTCTTATTTGATAAACTTTATTAGGATAGACTATAAATTTAAGATTTGAGATTGAGAATATATATATATATATACTGAAGAGATCCTCTAGCAAAACACAATGACAATGATTCTCTAAATATCATTTATTAATATTTAAAGAAGGAAGCAAGCTTATTGATAAGCTTCATGTTTGTCATCACACAACACCCCCTTTTATCTGTGCTTCAATATCAAATCAAAATCCTTTCTGATTGAAAAAAGAATGCCCCAGCCCCCTAAAGTTGATATTCTTGGAAAGGAAAAAAAGAAAAGTCAAGTAGCAACTATAAATCTTCCTTCCGTGCATTTAGTCAGATTTTTGTTGGAGATGCAGAAAAGGACTGGGCAGGAGCGATCATGCTATGAATAGACTTTGATCTACCGATGAATAATCTGCTGAATCATAAAAGTAACTAGGGGCTTCAGCAATAAACCTTGGATCATAATATTCTGACATATCTATATGCTGCAGCCCAAAATTCATGTTGTACCATTCACTTTGTAGCAAAAAGTGATTCAGGTCCTCCTCCAACGGTGAAGAAGCTGCTGCTTCACCACCCATTAATAGGTTCATTTGGTAAAAGTCCAGATCAGAAATGCAATCTACGTTAAATCCCTGAGTTTTCAAGCTCACATTTGAGGTGAAAATGGGCTGTGAAGATTGATCATTCACGATGACGCTTTTGGACTGTTTAGGAAAGGTGTCAACTGCAGATCCTATTGAACTCACAGGACTCATGTAATCACTCTTGTAACCAGCATACAAAGGCTTGGTGTCTATGCTGGGAGCAACCTCTTTTTCTGTTATAGAAGGATTGGAATTAATCGAAGCAATTGATTGTGATTGATCAACCTGAATGTGATGCTGTGTACCATGTAATGGCAACTGGCTGAAGCTATCCTCTAATTGAACGATTGTCTTCTGTTCTTCTTTGAGTGGTCCTTTCGGAAACTCACTCCAAGAGTACTGTCTTGGTATCGTGCAATCAAATACTGCATGGCTTGCTTCTGATGACTCTAAAGATGCAAAAGGTTCATTGAGGGTCATCTGTGAACTTTTTGGTATCTTTGGATCAGAAATGTCACTAGTCGATGTTCTTCTTTTTTCGGTTGTAGGCTCTGACACGATTCCCTTGAGATCACTTTCATGACTTGGACCATCCATCTGAAGTAGTGAAGTTCCATCTGAATAACTGAAGCTGTCAATGGCGACATCATTTTGTTGCTTGTTGTTTGCAGTGTTTAGAAAACTAAAACTTCCTGTATCTTTTGAAGGTGAATCCGAATGCTTTATTCCACTTGAGGAAGATTTCTGTTCATTTTCCTTTTGCAACCTACTCAAGTAGAGCCTGTATTTCTGCAGGATACATTTTTTCTTATTAATGAACCGTATGAGTTTCAAACTTCAAACGTAAAGACCATTAAACTGTTTCTTCCCTCCTATTCTTTTAAGTCTACACATTTAATTTTAGGAGAGGGTCTGCATCCATATTGTATTATTTCTAAATCTAATAAATGCATACTGTTTGGTTCAGAGAAGGTGAAAAGAGAGAGAGGAATTCCTCCATTCTACTTTCTTTTATTTTCCTCCAACTAACAGTGAGTGAACCTCTGTGATGATTCTAGCACAATATGGAGTATTAAGATATGCAGATGTCTATCGAAATTAAGGTTATGACTGAAAATTAGGCACTCTTGCAATGATAGTAGTTAAGGACTGTTAATATAGTATCATTTATGCAATGCATATGAGCAAGTGATATACCTGCAAGTGACTAGCAACATTTTCTCTTGTCAACCAGGGAACACTCATCAGATCTAGAATTTTCTTGGGACCAACTTCTGCCAAACATTAAATTATATGTTATATTCTTGTTTGCTCTAGTCAAAACTTAAAATCACACTTAGCAGGAAAGGTTGATAGGAAACTTACTATCAAATCCAATTTGATTCACTGCTTTGACAAATTTCTGATGAAGATCCACAGACCAAACTACTCTAGCTTTCTTTGTGGGAGAATGATCTCCCAATTCTTTGTCATCGTGCTTGTTATCAGCATCTTTTCTTTTCTTCATTGAGGTAATTTCTTCTACAGCAAAGAGGTTACCATCATCAGACTGATCTGATCCATTCATTATCAAGTGAAGGGTCTCAAAACCCTCATGACTTTCATAATCTCTTGCCTCATGCATCCTTTTTCTAAAGACGTGCTGCCATATGTTTCTCAGTTCTTTCATTCTTATAGGCTTGAGAAGATAATCACATGCACCATGTTGGACACCTTTCATCACCCTGCTTGTTTCTCCATCAACAGACATCACTGTACAACATTGCCAAGTGTGGCTTGTCAGCATGGACTTCAAGTCAATGTGATCAAAATATTAACATATAAATCAACCAAAAAGTTTATTATGCAATATTAAAAGATAACTGACTAATAACAGGAAGATCCATCTCAAGTCCAACTTGCTCAAGAAGTTTGAAACCATCCATATCAGGCATGTTCACATCGCTGATCACTATGTCATATGCATCTTTCCTTTCACGAAGTTTTTTCAGAGCCTCTGTTGCTAAACAACATGTAGTCACTGGAACATATAATAGAAGTGAGTCAGAAGAAAATAGCAAGTAATTGTTGTCATAACAAGAGCACTCGCAAGGGACACAAGATGTGCTTGCGTCCAAAATTTGCTACTATGAACAGAGTATCAAGAATTAAAACGAGGTAGAAGTAGGATTTGAATATGGAAGTTACTAAAGATGTCGATTGAATTGAATACATGAAAGACCTTATTATTACTTTTACATGTAGCCTCAATCTGCTGAGCTCAAACTTTTGCATAGTCCAATCCAATCTAACTTCATGAACTGCTACAGTGCTTGACTGACATTATGTAAAACAAACTGTCCATGTTATAAAAGCTTTTATTGATTCCAGTTGCCATTTAGACTACACTCAGATGACTTCTAAATCATTTGTCCAATATGGAGTCACATCTCAGGTTGAATATGGCTTCTTAATCATTCTCTCTATGTGGATTCACATCACTGGTTGAATTGTATTTCAAGTTGCGTGGGTTTTTTTTCGTGTCATAGAAAGTATTAAATGCCAATCTGTTCCTTTTGCTAAACTGTGGCAAATCAAATTGTCCAATATTGGTAACTTGGGTTCATTAATATATCATCTTTCAAGGTGCACATCATGGCATCAATTGAGAAGAAACCTTATTCTTGATTTCCATTCTCTAATTACGGAGGCTAAGAGTTGGAGCTCATCTCTTCCTAGTGCAAATAAATTGAACCCGAAGTGCAAAGACGCATAACTAACAAAAGTAAATTCTTCTTTACCTACCATATAGAGACAGTAAATTCGAATTTAACATAGTTTTCGTGTTTCCATTGTCGTACTGAACCGAGTAGTGACATACAAGTATTCGGCATTTCAGAACACCACAGAAAGTGTACACAGTTTTGTTTGTTCAGATTAATTCAGTTATTCTAAAACCAGAGGAATCAGATTCGACTAGGACACTTCATTTTCCTCTATAAAACCAGCTTTAAAGGTGAAAGTTGCCCTTACTTATATTCTTTGTTTTAGCTATATCACTCACGGGCGTGAAATCTTCGATAAAATTTAACAGGGACCATGGGTTGCTGAAGCCTCGTGACTACAGATAAACCCCAGAGACTTTTGATCAACCCCCTTCAATCTTGATAAGTTTTATCATCAAAACTTCCCACCTTTTTTTCCTTATTGATAAATGAAAAAAGCTTCGTTCTTTGAGAAACACTTGAGTTCAAGATCATAAAGAAACGACTTAACTGACCAAACAAAACAAATAAGCTGCTAAAATGCATGCAACTATCAGAATATAGCTCAACATGAGCACATCCCCTCACACACTAAAATTTCATACACAAGCAGTCAAAAACCAAAAAAAAAAACAATTGTAAGCAAACACTTCAAGAAAAGAAAAATAAGAAAAAAAAAAATCTTCTATAAGTTAAAAAGTACAAATTTTTAAAAGTTATACAAACTATCATATGTAATAACAAATTTTAACTTATGAAAAGTTCATTTCATCCTTCTCTTTTTAATTTTGTAGAAGTTTTCACGAAGAATTTTATCTAATCATAACCATAATACAGATGTCAAAGTCCTTTTGTGCAACAAATCAATAGCACACCAGAAATAGCAGAGTGGAGAAACAAAAGGGTTACATAACAATTAACACTGATGATGAGTAAAACAAACAAACCTTCATACAAGCACTTCTTCAGCATCTTTTCAAGGATCCTCAACCATGTCGGATCATCATCAACAACGAGAACTCGCAGACCAGCTGGAAAAGCATCGTGGCGTGGAGAAGAGAAGCAACCATTGTCCATGTTGTTGGAGAGAACCTATGGATCACTGCCCTTGAGTTCAAGAAAAAAATGGGGTTGCCTTCTTTGGGTTTTAATTAAAATTTAAGGTGAAGGGAATATAAGTATATATATATATATATATATATATATATATATATATATATATATATATATATATATATATATATATATATATTATTTTCATGCACTGTGACAAAAAAGCACTAACACGAATATTAACGGTCCCAGTGGCGCACGTTAGTGCATGTCCCCTTCGGGTTATGGTCTTCCAATTTTTGTGATGAAGAGAATAGTATACTAGGAACAATAAAAGTTGTTTTGAGTTTAAGAGGGTGTAAGAGAGATAAAGAGGGTGTAAGAGAGATAAATGCATGGTGAGAATGAGATTAATTTTATGTAAAGATGGCAAATTTAAAGTAAACAGATTATAATGGACTTAGAACAGAACATTGGGTTGGTTTTGCATAACCACGTTCAGATTGAAAATCAACAAAAGTGAGATGAGTTGTTCATAGTATGGAAAAGTCATATCCCAAAGGGAAGAAGACAGAGTCACACTTTTTCAAAAAAAAAAAATGCATTAAATATTTAATTTGTCCAAAATGGAGCGAAGATGAAAAGGGGTTTGTATCATTTTTGGCTTCTAATAATTTGTTAACTTTTTCATTTTTAATAATTATTTATGTTGTTTTTGTCTATAAAAACCAAGCGTAAGTCAGTTTCTCATAGTCAAAGTGTCATCTAAAAAAATTTAGAAACAAAAAAAAAATTATAAGACAATTGAAAAATATTTGATATATAATTTATCAAGATTAAAATTATATTTAAACCGAAAGAATTTAGATTTTATGAAAATCAAGACTCTTGCAATTTACATAAACTAATTTTAGTTTGAAAAATTTATATATTTTTCTATTTTGTTCGTCTAATTGCTTAAGAAAAACTTAACGGTTTTGGTTGTTCTGAAACTGTATTTATAAGGTGTAATCTAATGTTGATGAGGTTGAAGAGGGTGATCCAGGGTTGATATTGGTAGAGCAAGAACAAAGCAAGTGTGAAGCAGTTATTCCTTCTGAAAAAAAGATGTTGGAGATAGGAATTTATGAGGAAAGGAGACAAGAAATATGCACAAAGAGGACATCACCTCTATGTTGTCTGCTTGGTAGTATCTTTGTGAAAAGGAAAAATAAGAAGGCAAACCGTTTGTGGAAAGGCACGTGGAATGCATTCCACAGACAAGAGAATATGGTTAGACAAGCCAAGACTTTAATTGGAACCAAATTTATAGCATACAAAATACAAAATAGAAAAAAAAATATACAAAATATTAATGTAAAAATATTTCAATAGGTATAATACAAGTTTTTTTGAGACATTCAAAAATCAAAATATTTTCTATAAGACAGTAAAGAACCGAAACAGAACAAAAAAAAAAAATTCTTCACCTAGTTAATTTCTATGCATGAAGTTAATTTTTTTTCTCTTTTCTTGGTGACTTTTTTTCTCATCAAAACATTATTTTTATATTTTATGTTTTCAGTATTTTATTCTAAAGAAATTAAATATAAATAAAGATAATCCAACAATCAATCAGTAGACATAATATATATATATATATATATATATATATATTATTTTTTAACATAGTAAACATAAACCTAATAAATTAGTGATGACCGAAAAATATTTAGAATTAGAAGTAAAAGAAAATGGAAGACGCAAGTTACAAAATTTAAGTATTTGGAACCAGTATAACAAAATACTACACACAAAATTCAATGGAGAAAAATATGTGATAGATATTTGAAATAAAAAATAAAATGCAAAAGGACTGAAAATAAGAATGTTAGGAATGAATTGCGTTGGTTATAGAAAATGATAAAATATAAGGTGACCATATAACATCAATTGAGAAATTTATGAAAATGAATTGGTTAATATGGCATAGCCAAGTGTAAAGATGGTCACTAGAAACATCATATGGAAGAGAATAAGCCACATGATTTTTATCACTATAAAAAAGAAAAAAGAAAAAAAAAAGCATTACTAGAAATGTCTTATTAAGAATTTAGTTCAACTAAATGGCATCTAAGCTTATGTACTTCTCCTGACACAACAATGGCATAAGATTTTTGGTGTTATAGCTTTGAAAATTCTGAAAGTCCAATCCCAGGAAGATTACCTTCCTAACCAAATATAGTTATTATTATGGGAGTAATATTTAGTTGAAATAGGATTAAAAGGTGACATTTTCTTGTAGTTATTGTGAATTTTAGGAATTATAACTTGAAAGTTATGTATAAGATAGAAAACTTCTCAAGCATTAATATTATACTGTGGTTGTAATTATTACTTAAATTCTTATTATAATATCATTAAAAGTGTTTTACTATTACTTTGTCAAGATTGTATATTATTCACTAATTTTAAATAAATTTTCAATTTAGGTCATAGTTCATAACTAATTTATGATAAAATTAAATTCAAATAGTACTCTATAGTATTCAAGAAACAAAATAATCACCCAATCGAGAATGAAGCATCCCAACCACATTTAATTGGACAAATATTAATGCCCTTCTTAGCCAATGTGTTCATGCCATGCATTCAAAATACTAGAGACATTTTCTTTTTCTTACCACACGATGAATGTTCTTCTAATAAAATAATTAATGAAAAGTTACCCATTTCTTTCAATTAGTACTACTAGAATTGAACAAACATAATTAATGAGATAGAAAGAGAATAGAATAATTGAGTCCCCTAATTAATTTCAGTAACTCAATGATTTGGGTAGAAAAACCTTAAAATATTGAAGTGGGTGCATGAAAACCTTGTTTTTTTTTTATTGTCTGGTGCTGAATGCAAATCAACTTTACGTACTTGGAACTTTATTTTATGGTTAAATGGTGCAATTTTATACGACATAAATGTCTTGGCATCCAACACTTGCAGGTTTAGAAAGCCATGATGTTGTCAACTCATAAATGATGGGTTCCAAAAAGAAGCATTCTAATTCTAACCAAGACAAAGCACATCAAAACGCAGAGAGACAAAACATCAGTGTCAGGCCAGGACACACCAGTACCCCGACTAAGTTGTGTGTCTCCAAACCATTGGTGCGTGTTTTCTCCATTTTGTTCATAAATAGCACCACTTCCAATGTAACTACGTAAATGTGACGAAATGAGGATTGTAGAAGGGCTTGTACAAGAATGATCACTATATTTGGTTTTTAATAATAATTTTGAAGGATTATTATTATTGAGAATTGTTCCGGTAAATTATTTTTGGTTTTTCACCTATAAACTAAATGAAATTTATGAAATATTAAAATATAAAATATAGTTCTTTATTCAAGGATTAAAGATAAAAAAAACATCGAGACTTTAGATTTTATATTGAGTGTCAAATGTTTTTATCGAGTGAAATTTGAGAAGATGTGAGGAGATTAATGAATCCGATTTCGAATTATGACTTCAAAAAACTTAAAAATAGTTTCTTTTGAAAAGAACAATGACCTACATTAAAAGATACTCACCACTTAAATAAACTTTTAAATAAGAGAGTAGTAGTATATTTGAAAATAAATAATAAGGTAAGATTTAGTTTTTAGGTGAGTCTTCTTATATAGGACCTAGAAAATAATAATAATTTAAAAAATAATAACTGATGGTACAAAAGATAATAATTGATATTATATTATACAAAATAATAAGAGATAATAAGATAATGTGTGACAAAATAAATAACCAAATATAATAGTTTTAATGGACTTGGGTTGGGCAGGTACACAGACCCCCAAGCTCGGAGATTGAGTTCCTTTAGAAATAGAGATCAAACGAGTTTAAGGTTGAATTAATCATTTTATCATATAAATGAGTAATGTTTATTTGAATGTGTTTATCCTAAAAATTATTATTCAATTAGATTGAGATATATTTATTAGATTTTCTCAATAGAGCCTATTTATTTGTCATACAAAGATAATTGGTCAAAAGTCTTACAAAGAGGAGATAAGAGCTCGATAAGGCTCCTATTAGCCTTGAGCTTAAGAAGATCGTCTTATGAAGACCAAACGATACCTTAAGTAATGCTTCGAGATAAAACTCCACCCTCTCGTGAGCAAAAACAGAACTTTGTTAATCTGAAAAATTATTTATATCTATCATGTGCATATATTATAATTATGAGTTATAAATTATCTCGTTCATAGACTATACAAATGTTAGACTCATCACTCTGAGTTGAGTTTTTAAGATGCATATTTTGATAACTTACACACCAAAATAAGGTATGTATGATCGTGTGACCCTGAGTAAGGTAGATGTTGGTTTTGATAACTCATACACCTGAGTAAGATATGTATAAATCATGTGACCTCAGGTAAGATAGATGTAGGTTTTGATAACTCGTATATCTGAGTAAGGTATGTATAACTTATGTGACATCAAGTAAGGTAGAATTTTTCGTACTCATGTGACTCCAAATTAAGTACAACTTTTAAACTTATGTAACCTCGAGTAAGGTAGAATTTTTAATACTTGTGTGACCCTAAGTAAAATACAATTTTTATACTCGTGTGACTCCGAGTAAGGTACACTTTTTATACTAATGTGATCCTAAGGTTTTATACTCATATGACCTCGAATAAGGTACAAATTTTATATTTATGTGATCTCGAGTAAGACATAATGTATGTAAGATTTATAATGAGTGGTTGCAAATGAAATATGTATGAGAACCATATTGGATGAATTCCTCAACTATATCTTTCACTCGTTGATAATATGCCCATAATCTTGATGAGAAAATGACATAAATTAAAAGAGAAAGGTATATATAATTTATCTTTAATCTCTACTCCTAAATTATATAAAATTCATTAGGTAAAAAAGAATACATAAATAAAATTATCTAATTACTTCAATTTAAAATGTGTTACAGTGAAAATTAAAACGATGATAAAAGTTTATTACCATATATATATATATATATTAAAATAGAAAATTAATATAATTTCAGTTAGTTTTTATTTTTAATTTTAAAATTGAAAAATAAATTTTAATATTATTTTAAAATAACAAATGCTTTTTTCATAGTTTTAAAAATTAAAATACTGAAAACGGTTTTTAAATAAATAAAAAAATAACTTTTTTCATAGTTTAAATTTGTTTGATTTTTTAAATATTAAAAAATTAAAATAAATTTTTCAATAAGTTAAAAATATATAAAAACCTAGAAGAAACATACAGGAGTGTCATTTACAAATTATCTTAAATATGAGTTAATTTTTAAATAAATTTATTTTTTTTCTAATTTTTTATTTTACAAATTCTTATAAAAAAATTTTGTCCAAACATAATCTTAATATTTTTAAAAATTCATATAATATATTACTATGTTCAAGGTTTTCTGTAGAAAATTAATATTCATTTAATAGGAATGTTGTTTTCATAGAAGACTTAATATATGCTGAGCTTATGAAACGAAGATATTAGAAAGAAGGAGACACATTATAGTTCCATAATTGGCAAACATATCAAAATCATATATATATATATATATATATATATATATATATATATATATATATATATATATATAAAGAGAAACTATATAAAGAAACAGAAAACATGAAAAGAGTTGCATAAGAATCATGTAAACACAAAAATTCCCATGAGACAAAAAAAACACACTACAAAAAAATAGCCTATTATCTACTGGATAAAAATTCGTAGGTAAATTTTACATTACCTACGGATATTACCCACTGATGAAAATCCGTAGGTAAATTGTACATTACTTACGTAGTATATTCTATATATGTATGTATATATATATATATATATATATATATATATATATATATATATATATATATATATATATAAAGAGAAACTATATAAAGAAACAGAAAACATGAAAAGAGTTGCATAAGAATCATGTAAACACAAAAATTCCCATGAGACAAAAAAACACACTACAAAAAAATAGCCTATTATCTACGGATAAAAATTCGTAGGTAAATTTTACATTACCTACGGATATTACCCACGGATGAAAATCCGTAGGTAAATTGTACATTACTTACAGAATTCTATTCGTAGGTAATTATCCATTACCTACGGATATTATCCGTAGGTAATGTCATCCGTGACTAGGTAATTACCGTAGGTAAATTATATTAAACTAAAAGAATTGTCACTAGCAAGAATCGAACCCAAGCACCTTAAAGTTGAAAACTGATACTCCAACCACTAAACTATTAGAATATTCTAATAATAATTTACAACTAAATTATACTTATATTTATTCGTGTAAATATATAAATATATAAATACATAAATACATAAATACATAAATACATAAATATATAAATACATAAATATATAAATACATAAATACATAAATATATAAATACATAAATATATAAATACATAAATACATAAATACATAAATACATAAATATATAAATACATAAATATATAAATACATAAATACATAAATACATAAATACATAAATAGATAAATATATAAATAGATAAATAGATAAATAGATAAATAGATAAATAGATAAATAGATATATAAATAAATACATAAATACATAAATACATAAATACATAAATATATAAATATATAAATATATAAATATATAAATATATAAATATATAAATATATAAATATATAAATATATAAATACAAATATATAAATACAAATATATAAATATATCAAAATATAAATATATTTTATATTTATATATTTTATATTTATATATTTACACTGATAAATATAAATATAATTTATTTGTAAATTATTATCAAAATATCCTAATAGCTTAGTGGTTGGAGTATCAGCCTCCAACTCGAGGCATCGGGTTCGAATCCTGCCAATGACAATTCCCTTAATCTAATAATAATTCAAAGTTTCGAAAATATAATAAATAATAAAAATATAATATAAAGGGGAGGGGGAACCTAGGTAATAATAAAAAATAAGGGAGGGGTTGTAATAAATAAAAATATTTTGTTTAGGTGAGTGCATTACCTACGGATTATATTCCGTAGGTAATTATTTATGGAAAGAAATCCGTAGGTAAAGTGACACTACCTACGGATTTTACCCGTAGATAATAAGCATTTTTTGTATTGACATTTATAGGAATTATTCTACCACTTTATCATCTCAAGTTGTTTTGGTATTTCTTCTAGGTATGGTAAAACAACACTTTATTTAACCTTTCATTTCTCATATTTTCAAAAGAATACTAAAACAAAAATGAAAATGAGACAAAGAGAAAGTGTTTGAAACGAAAATATTAAAATTTTAGAATATGTATTGATAATAAAATAATGGTTGAATTTAAGAATTTTTAAGAGTAAATAAATCTTAACTAATTACTACAACAATAATTTAACTTTACTCTCATTTTCTAATTGCGTATTATTTAAGTTAACTGTAATTAAAGTAATAAAGAATTAGAGTTTATAAAATAAATAAATGTAACATATATACAAATTAATACTAAATCTTGAAAACTAAGTGTAGTTCATTTTCCACACATAAAATCACATATGCAAAAGTAAGTCTTATTATTATCATAAGCTTAATTACTTCTTAAATAATTTTACCAAATTCTCTAATTTATTTAAGCATTATATTATATGATACTAAAAAGTAGGGTTATAAGCACTTAATTTGCAAATTTCTCCGGCGCAGTCAAATTCTATTATATTTTAATGAGTTAGATTGAGTTATTGGGTTGGTGTAATTATTTTGAAAACTCAACTAGAATTAAAATGAGTAATGTATTCATCATAAATTTTAAATTCGATAAATTAGAGCTTATAAAAATCCTATACGTATGTGAATATTATATTTATGAAATCCAATTCTACTATATAGCATCAACATAATCTTTAACATTGTTTGGTATCTAGTAATAAATACTATTGTCGCAATATAATAAACACAAGAAATTTGGGTGAGTTCATTATAAAAATTACTTTACACTTACAAATGTAACTTATATATAGTCAGAGGCGAATATAGAAAGAAAAATTGAGGGGTACAAGAAAATCGCGTATTACCGACGGATATTTATCGACGGATTTATAACCATCGGAAAATAATTATTACCGATGGATATAAAATATTTGTGGAATTTAATTTTACCGACGGATATATCCGTCAGTAAAATAATAATTAGTTACCGACAGATATATCCGTCAGTAATTTACAGATGAATTTACCGACGGATATATCCATCTGTAGAATCATCAATTAATTAACAATTAATTATCCGTCTGTAAATTTATCTCGTAAATTACCGATAGATATTTCCATTGGTAAATTAACAATTAGTAAATATTCACCTAATTAAAAAATTAAATATTTTTTATTTAATAATTTAATTTAATCATAATTAGATTAGTTTATAATAATTTCTTAAATTAAATAATTTTAAAAAATAAATATTTAATTATATAAAAATATATAAAAATATTTAATTATATATAAATATATATAAAAATATATAAATATAAAAATATATAAATATAAAAATATATAAATATATAAATATATAAATATATAAATATATAAATATATAAATATATAAATATATAAATATATAAATATATAAATATATAAATATATAAATATATAAATATAATTTATTTGTAAATTATTATAAAAAAATTCTAGTAACTTAGTGGTTGGAGTATCAGCCTCTAACTCTAAGGTATCGGTTTGAATCCCGCCAATAATAATTAAAGAATAATTAAAGACTTTAAAAATGTAATAGGAGAAAATAATTAATAATAAAAATATAAAGGGAAAGGGTTCTATAAATTAAATAAGCTATATAAATAAAATATTTAATAAATAATAAAAATATTTCCGACGGATTTTTGACCGTCGAAAATCAGTTTGCAGAATGGAAATTATCGACTGAATTTTTATTATTACTGACTTGATTTTGACCGTCTGTAATATTACAATTTCTTGTAGTGGTAATATATCAAATTTCTTAGAAGAAAAAACTTTAAAATATTTATATATATAATTTTGAAAGTGAGTCAAAAATTTTAGGGTGGTTATACCATCGTGCCATTCCTGGCTCTACCCCTGTATATAACATATATATAATTCTATCATCATTTATCAACATCATCATTAACATAACTACTTTGAATGTTTTCACCTATCATTCTTAAATTATAGCACTGTTAAAGTTGCAACTCTAAGACTAATTCTCGTACACTTCAAACATGTTCTTGTAACGAGTATATTATATTATGAAACCTCTTAGCAATGAACCCATCTAATTATTATCATGCTAATTCTTTTCCCGTCTCCATGATAAGTGGGGGATCTTGATCATTAATATTGAGAGGACCAAATAATATATTATTAATAAATAATAAATAAATATAAAAGGAAGAAATAAGATGAAAGAGTGAAAAGATAAAATTGTAGATATATATTTAAATATATTAAATGATCATTAAGTTTGAAGAGGACAAAATCATAAATTATATGAGAGTTAGGAGAGGTTGAAAGGATAGAATTATAAATATACTAAATGTTCATTAAATTTGAAGAGGCTAAAATCATAAATTACATGGGAGTTACAAAATTTTAGGGGGGTCACGACCCCCCTCAGCTTCCAAGAAGATCTGCCACTGTCGATGATACTAGTGTTTACACATCTTAAAATCCATACACACTAACCTCTTTCGACTAATCACAATTATACCTTTATCTATACGATTTTAGATTACTTACGGAAGCTAGATATCTCCTTTAGAATATACTTACTCAATAACCCCACACATGAACACTTAATAGTTCCTACCTCCTTGTAATACATCAAACACACAACCTTAAGCCGACTACATCGTATGCATATATAATTCATTACATATCACATTTATTCACACAATTTAATGTATATAATTATTTATATATCAATATTCATTTCACTTCTCTTTCGTCATTTCCCAAACAACAATATATTTTTTATTGCTCATTTGGTCGATTGAGTGATGCACTTTAAGTATTTACTCAATTGATTATGTTTCTTTTTTGTTTGGGCCACATATTATCGCTTGAGCCACACAAGTACCTTACTTGGCATTCCTCATAATGCTTAAGTGAAGTGCCTCTAAAATAAACTCATTAATTCTATTTGATCATCAATTGAGTTCCCTCTTGATTCCTTGAGTGATATATAAACATAAACAATTTTCTCTAATCTATTAATATTTTGCTTGAGTGCCTAATTAGTCACTTGAGCAAATTAACTCCAAAAAATTTTCTCTTCCCTCCACTAGTATCAAACTTGAGTGCCCTATGATCACTTGAGTGAAATACTTGTTGTATCCATTCTTTCTAGTTTAATGACTTCATCAATTAAGTGTTAGCTCGTTACTCAAGCGAATGAATACTGAATTCCTCATCACTTGAGTGAATGATCAATATTTTACTCACCTTTTACACCCTTTTGCATATTACTTGAGCAACCAATATATTCAAAGACACGTTGAAATCCAAACACTAAAAATATTATACTAATTTCAAATGTATAATAAACTAATTGGAACACATGTTATACCTATTTCATTAACATACTGAGATTAAACACAGTATTTCAACTCTAATCCAAAATCAACAAGAATTATATTTTTGTATATTAACTTTCCTTATCTATGTTATTCTTGTTCCAAAATAATCCTCCAAATGTAAGGTCAACAAGTTTTCAAAAATTCTACCATAGCTCCCACCAAATATATTTTATAGATGTTAATACTAGTTTAAAGAGATATACTTATTTTTTTTTCTTTTAGCAAATGAATATTATTTATGTGTTATAATTTGTTATAATCACTATAATTATTTAATATAAAAGATAATTATTAATATCATCAAAAACCTTAAGCATAGACAAGATGGATATGGTTAGACTTAGACATTTAGACTATCTCAAGTCAACAAAGACTTTATCCAAGATTTTGATAATTATAAATATGATTAAATTTTAATGTATTTAACATGTGTGTTAAGTTTTGTATGAGATAAACAAGAATGTACAACAATATGTACAAGTATTGGCCATTTGTGTAAAGCGTTGATTAACTGAAACACACTGACACATTTAGTGTGTGTTTGGATTTGAAGGAAAAAGAGGTGGAATTGGAATTATTTGGATTAAGGTAAAGTTAGTTAAAAATGAGGAAAAATAAGATGAAAGTTTGTAAAAGTTTGTGAGTAAGGTAATTGATTTTACAGATTAAAAATAAAAAATTAATTGATAAAATTATAAGATTACAATTTTATCCTTATCTTAAATAAAGATTTTAAAAGAAAATATAATTAATGTAAATAATGTTAAAATTATATGTGATTATTATTTAAAATATAAAAGTTTAAATATATGATTTTTTATTAAAATAAAATACAATTAGTGGAAATTAATTTGGAATCAATTTTCATAATCTACTAACAATTCATATACTATTAAAAATTTCAAATAATACAACAATGATAATAATATATATAATAAGTAAAGAGGTTGATACAATGACCACCCTACTCTGAAACAACAATCTTAAATAATAATATAATAATAAATAATGTTTTTATATTGATAAATTTGGTTGTTTAATGAAAGTTTTTGTAAATCATGATGTCAAACTATAATTTTCGATATAAAAATAAAAATAAATCATTGTCATAGGTTATTTGTATAGTGTGGTTGGCAATACATCTTTATCCTTTCAGTTTATTTGAGTTTAAAGTGCAAGATAGGGTGAGTATGAAGTGTGGTGAGTGATTGCAGAGTTGAAGTAAATATGGCCAACCTTCCTAACTCGAAGCTTAATAGCAAATAGAAGATGAGGGAAACAGGAGAATTATAAGATGAAGAAAGCTTTTCGCGTGCAATGCAACTTAGTGCCTCCATGGTGCTTTCCATGGCACTTCAATCAGTGATGGAGTTGGGCGTATTTGATGTGCTAAAAGAAGCGGGTGAAGGTGTCAAGCTCTCTATTGAGCAAATCCAAGCTTTCTTGCAGTAACCTAAAAGCAGCCTTCATGCTTGTGGTTTAATGGAGGCCGAGAATCAATTATGGTTTAACGGAGAATCGATTCTCTATATATACATTCAAAGGAAGTGATAATTGATTCTCCATGCATTCAAAGGAAGTGAGAATTGATTCTCCATGCATTCAAAGGAAGCGAGAATAAATTCTCGTTTCATCACCTCTCAGAGAATCAATTCTTTATGGATTGAGAATCGGTTCTCTCATTCACAATTGATTTTCTCCGCCTCTCTTTGTCTCCCTTAGCTACTCTCTGCACAAACACACACCACACATACCAAACCACGACCACAACCACCTTCTTTCTCATATTTAATGACAACATCAAGTTGGTACGAGAATTATAGTTGCATATGTCGCATCTGCTTTAATTGTAATGATTCTTATAGACCCCAAATCTTGCCCGGTTTCACAATAAAGCTAGAAAACCTCCATTCGAAAATGGACAAGGCTTCTCTAGGCCCCTAGGAATATTTACTAGGCTCCATGATAGGATAGGAGGGTTTTTCGTACATGAAAAATAAGAGAAAATGAGAAAATTTTGACCAAGAGTCCGAGACAACCGTCCCATTTGGCCAGACGGCCGTCTCACCATCAGTGAAAGGCGAGACAGTCGTCTCGCCATCTCTGATGGGCGAGATGACCATCTCGTTTGGCCAGACGGCCTATTGAAACATACAAGGATATGAATGTTGAACATATATGGATATGAAACTTGTTGATTTTGATGATGATTCAAGAATAAAGGACTTAAAGATTTGAAGACTTGTAATGTTATGTAATAACTCTGTTTTTATGATTTTGAGTCTGTAATATTAGAGTCCAAGATAGTCAGCACATAGTCCACTCTTTAAAGGCTTTAAAAACTCATTTTTATCAAAAATATACTGGATTAATCGATTAAATGACAGGATAATCGATTATTACAAAGAGAAAATCATTTTCAGCATCTGCTCTCTGGAATAATCGATTAAACACCCTGTTAATCGATTAACTGGGATGTTAATCGATTAAATGCCCTGTTAATTGATTAACTGGAGCTGTTTTGGGTTCTTTGCGAATTTGGCTCTGGAATAATCGATTAACACTCAAGATAATCGATTATTTCAGTCAGATATGTGTTTTGAAATTCAAAATTGGACCAAGTTTCGAAAACCCTATTCCCAATTCATCTGTTTTCGAAAATCCCCAATTCCCAAACCCTAATCTTTCTACTTAAGGTTCTCTAAGGCTCTCTGCAAACAGAACAACCTTTTTCAAACAAAAGTTAAGAGATGTGACTCGCTAAAACTCGTTTGTTGGAGGAAAAAGGGGTTTTTGAAACCTAATGTGGGCTAGAAGCGATAAGAATCACCGAGTGGGTTTTCTTGGTGGATTGTGTGTTGTGTCGTCTCTAGGGAAAGTTGTTATTCATCCTTTATGGATTCAAAGGAGGTGTTCATCTCTTGTGTGACTCAAGAGAGATGTATTCTTTGTCTTATCTTTTCATTTGTAATCTGATTGTATAACTGTAATTATAGTGACAACGTTAATCCTCTGTTTGAGTGATTAGCAACTGAACGTAGGGTCTTTTGATCCGAACCAGTATAAATCGACTGTGTAATACTCTATCCCTTCTCTATTTACTTTACACAACATTTTAATCGGTGAAATTTGGGAAAAATTTTAAAACCCTAATTTTGTTAAGAAACCAATTCACTCCCCCCCCCCTCTTGGTTTTTGTCCGGAAACGCAAACATTCCGCTGCGCGATTCTAACAAGTGGTATCTAAGCTTGCTTTGATAATCATTCAATTTTCGAAAATGGCCGGATAAAATCAAACGTTTGTCGAGGGTGCTTCTATCAATAGACCCCCACTTTTTGCGGGGCAAAATTATCCGTTTTGGAAAGTTAGAATGCAAATATTTGTAGAGTCTGTTGATAGAGGTGTTTGAGACGCAATTTTAAACGAACCTTTTATTCCTAAAATTACTGAAAACGGAGAAGAGGTACCAAAACCATTTTCTAGATGGTCGGCTGAGGAAAATAGAAAAACCCAATATGATGTTAGGGCTATAAATATTATTTCATCTGTTTTAACCCTTGATGAGTTTTACAAGATCTCTGTTTGTAAAAGTGCTCAAGAAATGTGGTAAATGTTAAAAGTAACCCACGAAGGTACCGACGATGTAAAAAGAGCACGAAAGAATTCATTGATTCAAGAATATGAGATGTTCCAGATGCAACAAGGGGAAACAATCTTTGAAGTTCAAAAGCGTTTCACGCACATAGTGAATCATCTCACCGGGTTAGGTAAAATTTTTGATGTTGATGAATTAAATGTAAAAATTATGAAATCTTTGGATAGAAAATGACAACCTAAAGTGACGGCCATCACGGAGTCACAAAATCTTGCAATAATGTCTATGGCGGCGCTCTTTGGAAAGTTGAGAGAGCACGAACTTGAACTTGGAAGACTAAATGATAAAGAAGGTCAACATCAAAAGAGGAACCTAGCCTTCAAAACTGAAATTTCCAAGAATAAGAACAAGAAGGAAGAAGAAGACTCAGAAATTGAAGAAGAAGAATAATTGAGTCTTATGATAAAGAAATTTACCAAGTTCATGAAAGTCAAATGGAAGCAACCCTTCAAAGGTAAGGGAAAGGTAAGAGAAAATACTTCTTTAAATATTAAATGTTATAGTTGTGGTGAAACAGGACATGTAAAAACCGAATGTCCAAATAAGAAAAATGAAGACCATAAGGGGAAGAAATTTTTCAAGAAGAAAGCCTACATTGCTTGGGATGATAGTGATTCAAGTTCGGAGTCAAGTGATTCGGAAATTGAAGCTAACATTTGCTTGATGGTAAAAAACAACATATCTTCCGATTTTGAGGTTAGTGATTCCGACTCTTCCTCAAGTGATGATGAAAATAACTTTGATTAATTACAAAATGCATATGAAGAATTGTTTAATGCTTTTAAGGACTTGAAAAATGAATACAAATCTGTGAAAAAGTGTTTGAATAAATCCGAAAAAGAGGTGGAGTCCTTAAAAACGAAAATTGTATGTTTAGAGGAAAAGGATAATAAGAATATAGCATGTGCATCATGTAAAGAGTATGAATATGAAATTGATTTATTTAGACATTTGCTTGATAAAGCTAAGAAGGAAATAAGTGATAATTATAAGGATAAAGTTGTTATTGTTCAAAATAGAGAAAACTATCATGTTCCCTTGAAAAAGCCTAAAATTAAAAATAGAAGAGTATGGGTTGAAAAAGGAACTAAAACGTCAATAGTTAGAAATGTATCATATTCTAAAATTACATCTAATGCATGTTTTTATTGTATGAAACATGGTCATACTTCAAATAGATGTAAAATTAAGCATTTTGGTGTTCCTAAAAGAAAATATGTTTGGGTTTCTATAGTTAAATGATTTGTTTGTCTCTAACCCCAAGGACCCAAAAGTTATGGGGACCTAAGATTACTATGTTCTTGTTTTGTAGGAAACTTCCAAATCCAAGAAGTCTATATGGTATCTTGATAGTGGATGCTCAAAACATATGATCGGAGACAAAGCAAAATTTGTAAGTTTCAAAGCTAAAGAACAAGGATATGTAACCTATCAGAACAACAACAAAGGAAAGATACTTGGAATCGGAAACATTGGTGGTGCAAACACTTTGGAGATAAAGGATGTGCTTCTTATTGATGGGCTAAAACATAATCTCCTGAATATAAGTCAACTTTGTGACAAAGGATTCAAGGTAATATTTGAAAGTAAGTTTTGTACCGTACATTTAGTGAATTCTGAAAATGTAGCATTGAAAGGCATTAGACATAATAATATCTATTTGATTGATTTGGATTGTATACATGATACTAGTATAACATGCTTAGTTACTAAGGAAGAAAACCCATGGTTATGGCATAAGAGAGCAGCTCATATAAATATGCATCAATTAAACAAATTAATATCAAAGGACTTAGTTGTTGGTTTGCCTAAGTTAAAATTTGAAAAAGATAGATTATGTGATGCATGTCAAAAAGGTAAAAAAGTGAAATCATCCTTTAAATCTAAGAATGTTATTTCCACATCAAAACCTTTAGAATTATTACACTTAGATTTATTTGGTTCATCTAGGATAAAAAGTTTTGGTGGAAATTATTATGATCTTGTGATTGTTGATGATTTTGAAAGTGATGAAGATCTTATTAAACTACTTTGGCAAAGATCTTGTTGATTTGATGAAGTCAAAAATAAAGTCAAAGGCTACTTTGTGGCAGTCAAAGGTCACTTAGATAAAAGAGTAGTGAGATTAGTGAGTCTACATCTCTGCTTAGGTATAATCATTTTTATCTCTCTCGCTGCATGAGGTTTTTTCATTTAAAAGATTTTGCAAAATGCCTCTAAAAAGCGATTAAACGGTTAAAAACAAAGTATTTTGATAAAAGGTTTTTAATTAACTATTTTAACTAATAGTATACAAGCTTTATCAACTAAAATGTTCTTAACACTTTTTGTAACAGGTTTTTAACCGATATATTTTCGAAATAATCGATTGTTTTCATTAGAAGGATTTTTGAAAACCTTCTGCCAGTATTTTAACTATATAGAATTGATATAATCGATTAAAATGACTTGAAAAGTGTTCTGGCAGAATTTTAATCGATACAAACTCGAAATAATCGATTAAAACAACTAAGAGGTTTTTCCAGAATGTTTTAATCGATTAAAACAAGCTTGCTATCAGTTAAAATAACTTAGAAAGTTTTATGAAATCTTTTGGCAGAATTATAATCATTTAAAATGCGTTTCAATCGATTAAAATAACTAAGTGAACTTTTTTCAAAGTGTTTTAATCGATTAAAACAGGTTGTTATCGC